CTCCCACCAGCTTTGCTGGTTCCCTTCCCATCGGCTCAAAGGGAAAAGGAGGCTGGGAGCAGCTTCTGACATGGCAGAGACTGAGACGAGACACCTCCACAATGCGTCAGAGAGAACAGTTGGATGTCTAAAATCTGCCACTTTGCTCCAAAGCCGGCACAACCGCACCCCCCCAGAGCCACCCCCTCACTCATTTGGGTAAGTGACAGTTACGGGACATGTGGCACTGGGCATCAACCTCCAGCACCCGCGCTCTGCTCACAACACCCACCGCACCAGGAGAACCCCCCAGAGCCCAGGAGCCACCAGCTAAAAACTGTTGGAGGAAAAAAAAAAAAAGAAAAAAAAAAGCAGATTTTTTTTGTTTCAGTAATTGCAAGAGTCAATTCCATGCCTGATTCCGGATTGACTGGAAGTGCTGCTCCATTGCAAGATAAGGGAATGAGAACTTGGGTTTGCGTTGCTTTGCAAAGGGTCTGCAGATCGATCCGGCTCGGGAGAGCCGGGCAAACAGCGCAGCTCTGCGGGGTGATTAACTCTCCCGATCTCAACGCACACCTCAGCTCGCACGGAGCAGCTGCTGGCAGACCCCACAGCTGGGCGATAACACCTCAGACCATGAGAAAACCAGTTCTCTCGGCTCCAGCTCCACCCCCCCTCTGCTGACAACAGCTCTGCTCCCGGGGACCCCGCTTGAGCTCAAAAAAATTCCAGCCCTTCCCCGGCTGCAGGCTGTGAAGGACAGAGGATGACAGATTTTGGCCGTTTTCCAGCAGGAGTCACCTTGCCAGGCTGCTCTCCGCCCAGCCCCTGCCTTACCTGGGAGAGCTGCGCAAAGCTGGGCTGGGACTGCTGCCCCCCGCACCTGCCGGCGCGCACCCTGGGGGTGGGCAGGGCTGGATTCTCTCCACTTCATCATGTCTCTCACATCGGTTTGAGCCATTACATCCACTCAGGAAAGCTTTTTACATTAGGCATCCAGTTCTTCCAGTAAACATTCCCCCCCCCCCTTTTTTTTTTTTTAACTTGTCAGGAAGAGCACAGGAGCTATCAGAGCTGAGCAAATAGCCCATCGCAAGTGATTTATTCCGTTTGTTCTCTTTCAGCTCGGTTTCAAATTTTTCTAGCGGTTTTCGTTACAGGCTGTGGTTTGAGCAATTAAATGAAAGAGGCCAGGAAGGATCGCGGGAATTGAGGACATATTCTTAGATCAATTTTGGCTCATTGTGCACAGTCATCAATTTTATTCTATAGACAATAAGAGCACGCGTTTTAATTGCAAATCATCATAACCGAATATTTGGGTTCACTGCTCAAAAATGTGTATTTCAGAAATATGTTCTAATATTTGCCGTAAATTATGAAACAACAGCAACATCCGTAAACACAGAGCCAAGAGGCTATTTGCAGAAAACAAGCACAGGCGGAAGGTAAAGAGCAGGGAATATTCTGAATTACTGAATGTTGAGAAGATACAAATGCATTTTCTCAGCCCTGGTAACTACATTGCCGCGTTAAGGAGAGGTGAGATTTTGGTCTTCCCTGCCCTGAACAGCGTGCCACAACTATCTGACACGCGTTCTCTGATGCTGCAGCAAAATCTGAGCTACGAAGCGTTATTATCTACACAGACAAGTCAAGTCAGCTCACTGCGCTCACCTCACGGGCAAGGTCCGGTCCCCTTTCCTCCGGTCCATCTCCCGCTGGGGCACCGGGTACCAGCGGAAGTTCAGTTTCCAGTTAACCCCTCCGTAAGTCATATCCGACCCAGCCATGTACTCAAACGTGTCATCGCTGATCACATCGATGATGGGGCAGACAACGGTTCTCCTGTAAGAAAAACAATCAGCTGCCTTTTTTCTTTTTTTTTCTTTTTTATTTTTTATTTTTTCTTTTTTTTTTTTTTTAAACACAAAAATATTTTTTTGCGCTACTATGCTGAATATTTTGAGGCTTCTCTGCATAAAACCTCATTTACCATCACTCCATGTAGGTCTTCTCTTCCAGAAATGAAGCTGCTCAAGGAAACGGGCTCGAGCAGCACTGCTTTTAATCCTGTATTTCTTGAGTGCCTGCAACGCGTGGCATAAAGGAGAATAATTCCCATCGCCCACGCGTGTGCTCGGTGCAGGGTGGTGCTGCCCACGCACGACGTGGAGCAGAGCAAGGACCTCGGCTGCTGCAGCGCTGCTGGGGAGCACAGCAGAGTTTGTGGGGTTTGCTTTGCAGGGTCTGGATATGCTTATGCAGGAAAAAGGGGGAAATTGCATCATCTGTTGCAAAGAGAGAAAGAGAAAGAAAGGAGAAAAAAGAGAAAGAGGGGAGAAAAAAGAGAAAGAAAGGGAAATAAGGAAGGAAAAAAGAGAGCAAATTTCAGAGAGTGCTGGAGGTCACACCTGGTAAAAAGAAGGGAGGAAGATTGCCATCAGGGTTGGCGATGCCTAGACCTTGGGAAAGTAAATGGCCCAAGGTGCTGTCACTACTGGCATTATTCTGCTTACTGTCAGCAGCAGAAACCCTGCTGTAAGAATCAAAAGTTTATCACATATCTATTTATAAATTCTATTCTCATGCAAGTATTAGAGAATACTCTATCTTCCTGATAAATTAAAAAAAAACAACTTAATTTTCAGATCAACAAATTATTTTAATTTCTCATTTGTCAGAGCACAGCAAAACCAAGGAGCAGCCCGGAGGCAGGTCCCCGTGCCCGGCCACAGGACAGCCACCCTTACCTGTCCTCCCTGATCCTGGCCAGCAGCGGCTCCAGCCAGCCCAGGGGGCACTCGCAGTGCGCGTCCAGGAACGTGATCACCTGCCCTCGGGACGCCGCTGCCCCGCGGAGCCGCGCGCGGATCAGCCCTGACCGCTGCTCCATCCGAATGATTTTTACGGACACTTCCAGACTCTTCACGTAATTCTCTAATGAGGCTTTCAGAAATTCTGCCAAAGATAATTGGGGGAAAAAAAAGAAAAAAGAAAAAAAAAAAAAGAAAAAAAAAAAAAAAAGAAAAAGAAAAAAAAAGAAAACCATAATTTTTATCTAGGTTCAGCAACTCCCAAGGACTCCAAATATCACCGCAGAGTTGGTGCGTCATGCTCAGCCCTCCAAGGACTGCCACGCACCAACGGAAATGCATCTGGACGTATTCGGAGAATTTCTGAAGCCCGAGAGCTGAGCTGTGGAGGCTCACGGTGCAGCACGGCCCCTCGGGAAACAGCCCCGATGTACACAACTGCTAGAGCATCTCATAAAAATATCGCAGAAATTTTTATTAATTCACCATCAGTTTCCTTGGAATCAACCAGCAAGGAATAGTGAGTGCAAGAGGGTGACACTTCTGCTGATTTGTCGATGGTTAAATACAAATACAGCTACCTTGGATGAATTTCACCATTCTGAGCCCTTTAGGAATCTAAAACTTTGCTTTTAGGAAAAATTGTAGTGACTTGGGCTAAAGCCTTCCTCCTCCCTCTGGCACAGAGAAACACTAAACTTACTTTTTTTCTGAAACAGGGAAATCCAGGAGAGTAATCAGAGTTAAGTCAATGCTACATGGGGCAGAAATAAAGGATGGCTTAAGCTCGCATCCTCTGCGTCTTGGACAGCTGCACCTCTATGTTGTATTTGTACTTATTTGTTGTATTTGCCATTAGATACACCTGGCTACTCCTGGAAAATTTATCGTTCCTTTGACTCCATTTATAGAATGGAATGTGATTCCTTTTCCAGGTAATATCAGTTCTGTATGCAGACAGTTTTCTTTCTAAACCCTGGCTTTAAAGGAGAAAAGGAGAAAGGGGAGAAAAAAAGAGAGAGAACAGAAAAAAAAAGAGAGAAAACAGAAAAAAAAAAGAGAGAAAACAGAAAAAAAAAGAGAGAAAACAGAAAAAAAAGAGAGAAAACAGAAAAAAAGAGAGAGAACAGAAAAAAAAAGAGAGAAAACAGAAAAAAAAAAAAGAGAAAACAGAAAAAAAAAGAGAGAAAACAGAAAAAAAAGAGAGAAAACAGAAAAAAAAAGAGAGAAAACAGAAAAAAAAAGAGAGAAAACAGAAAAAATAAAACAGCCAAGTGCAAAAGAAATGAACAACAAATATGAGAAACAGAAGGAAAAATCCCTGTCCTGCAGGAACCCCAGCACGGTGCTGGGACAACGGGCAGCACGGGGGTCCTGTCCCCCAGCCCACCTCTCTCGCTGGCGTCATCCACCAGGATGATCTCGGCGAGCAGCCGGCGCGGCGAGCGGTTGATCACGCTGGAGACGGTCCGCAGCAGCGTGCTCCAGGCTTCGTTGTGAAACACGATCACCACGCTCGTGTTGGGCAGCTCATCCGGGTAGACTTTTGTCTTGCACCTGCACCCAAAGAAATACAGGAAACAAAACAAAACAAAAAAAACAAAGAAGGAAAGAGGCAGTTAATCTTTAAGAAAAGCCTGAAGAGCTCTACCAAGGTTAACATGGGGCGTATCGAGTGGTCACCGTTCGGTCAAGCCAGTCTTTCATCATGACAAATCCCAAGTTCTACGGTTTGAAGTACACAGTCCTCCGAGCCCTTCCCATCTTTGTTGGTTTCTCAAAAAGAAGAAATAAAATCACCATTTTCTAGAACACTCTACGTGCTCATTCAATGGAAGAACAAGAGGTCAACAGTTCCACCTGGTTTGGGAAAATGCAGAAGTTACGGCAAAGTGAGCAACAGCCAGCAAGCATCGCTGATTTAGTGGGAGCAATTCAAACCTACTTGCTCATTACAAAAGACAACCCCAAATTCTAGGTATTTGTTCCAGATCTTGGACACATTTCAAAAACACAAACATGCCCACATCAACCTGCCGACACGGGTCAAGTCACATCACTTAAACATACTTAATATGGATTTTTAACCATTGTGACTTAAAATAATTTCCTTTTTTTTTTTTTTTTGCTTTTTTTCTTTTTTTTTCTTCTTTTTTTTTTCTTCTCACCATTTCATTAGTGTATTTGAGAACTCAACCAGTCCCACCACAGTACATGTTCAGGAGGAACCTTGCAGAAACCTTCTCCCAAGGGCCAAGGGAAGGAATGAAGGAGGTCCCTGAGGAAAAGCCACCCTGCCCACACCACCTCTGGCTTAAACATCACCCACCACAACAAAACTCTCTGCAACCTTTCCTTCTGCCTCGCGGACATTTAAAGAAAAATAAATTTAAAAAACAGCATGACCATAACTTCTCCATCAATTATGATTTAGTTTCAGAGTCCAGGCAAACCAATAAAAGTCCTTTACTGGTTATCACCCACGACAAGACCCTCTGATGACCCAGGGGTGTCTAAGGGAGCGTGAGCCCAGCAGGACAAAAAAAAGGGGAAGGGACATTTTTGACTTTATTTGTCTCCAAAGCACAGTGAAACTTTTTCCTCATGTCAGCCTTGACATCTGGAAGCCAGAAATCAAAGACTGAGAAGCAGGCAGGCTGCAGCACGAAGCTGTTCATGTTCAGCGTTGTTTTCCAGAGCTTAACATCATACTTCAAAGCATACACCAAGCTGGAATAAATTCTGCTTGTCCCAGATTTCACAACAGTCATTTTAATTCAATTTAAAACAGATAAAATTTTGGAAATGGGAAAAGAAGCACTAGACAAGATTATGTTGTAAAATATTCAGCAAAACGAGACGAGGAGAACAGGGTACTGCCTTGTTTGCAGCTGGGTGCTCATTTTGTAGTGCCAGTGGGACATTAAGGGCCAGACTGGTTATCACACAGCATTTGCCAGCGTCGTCAGTATTTGAACCATTGTTCCCGCTATTCCCCACAGCATCCTGCGGTACCCGGAGAAGGCAAGGGCCAGATGAGCTGAGGACAGCATCCTTACCATACGCCCTTCTTCCAAATTTTCACAATGACCCTCCATCAGCTTTTGCACCCCAAGGTGAGGAATCCTTCTCTTCATCACACCAGCCCCTATCCACACCCAAAGACCCCACTGCACATCCCTCTGTGTTCCCCAGACGGTTACACGGTGGGATTACCTGCTCTGGAGGAGGAGGATTCAGTTCCCAGATGGGTCCATTCTGTAGGGACCTACAGCTCCCCAGGCACAGCAAGCGATGTGCCCCAGGGACTCTGATATCACCTCTGCTCATCAGGGACTAAATTAAATCTATTCAACTTTTTTTTTTTTAATTTGGATCGTCTGACTTCAGCAGAACATGTGAATGCTGGCAGTTTGTCCATATGATCACTTTATTCCACGGGGACAGTGTTGGTACCCACAGGAATAACTCCAAGGATTTGCATCTTCCTCTCATCTTAACAGGATTGTAAAAACAGAAGGAAAGGTGCACTTAAAGTAAAAAAAAAAATGTTAAAAATAATGTAAAAAAATATGTTAAAAATAATGTAAAAAAGCTGCAGAAGAGTCCACGGCCGGCAGCTCGATGAAGAACTGTCGCTCCCAACCCAGCGAAAGAACACGTTACCCTGTCAAAGATTCTGCCGCAGCACTTCAATGCACACAGCTTTCAAGTCTAATAAATTTTCTGTAATTGCACCAGTTTGTATTTTAAACTGAGATTTATGCAAATGAAAGGCAAAAAGAAAATAATTGAAGGGGAATTTATTTCAACCAGAGGAAAGCAGAGCTGTGCCAGAACTGCGTCTACATTGTCTCCCTGAATTTGATGGTGTCGGAACACTCCAAAGCTAACCCATCTCTACACCCAGCAGATGACGGACGTGGAAATCTCTTATGAAAATTATTCTCTGGTGCTTCATTACGGGGTAGAGAAAAGCTTGCAGTTTGCAGGAGCACAGACCCCTTCAGCTATCGCTGCCCATAAAGCAGCCGGCAGAGCCCTGAAGGTCAACCCTTCCTCGGGGATTTCCAACCCCAAACTTCATTTTAGTATTTCAGAAGTTACTTCAGCAGCCATTTGCTAAACGCTCCAAGTTCCTTTTATGTTTGACGAAGGACGCAGTAACACAGCACAGCGTTATTAACAGCAAACAACGCAGAGGGGACCATTTCTTTATCAGAAGTCTATAGCAGAGGCTCCTTTGTACTTTTCTTCACTTTTTCCAATAAAAATCAAAGATCTGTAATGGGAACCACAGGCCAGATCAAATCTGACCTTCTTGGATGTTTTTGATCATTAATTTTGTTCTGTTTCTCATTATATCACCGCTGAACCTTTGAAACTCACCAAGCTTACCTCAAGCTTCTTGTTAAAATGTTTTGCAAAATATTTTAACAAGTATTAACTTTGAATCCCCCAAACCTCTTCTTCATATCTGCAAGAAAGGAGATGAAGAACTCATTTTCACACGCTCCTGCATTCACACAGCTCTGCAGCCCCCAGCCCAGGGGTGAAATTCTGCAAACCACGGGCACCCGCACCCATCCACCGAGATCACCCTTGCTTTGCCTGTTCAGCGCTCAGCCGCCCGCAGACGTGAGCGTCGATGGATGCTCGGCTTGTAGAAGCATCACCTGCCAGGCTGCACGGCAGAGATGGATGCTTGCCTCGCTGCCCATCCTCTTAACAAACCCAAAGCCTAATAACACAGTTTAATCGTGAAGGACTCTTGTTTTAGTAAAGAAACTACGATCAGTCTGTCTTGCTGCGGAATGTAACTTTGCCGGCTCTTCCCGCTGCTCCCCTGAGCCTCATCCCCACGTTTCCCCTGCAGGTTCAGATAAAAGCTGAACTTTGCTCCTGGGAGCAACTGGTTGGGCCAACAGGAGCCATCGCAGTAACCCCCCGCGTCGGAGCCTTGCCTCGCCAGGCACGGGGACGGCTCTACACGAAGGGAGCAATTTCATGCCTGAACAGCCGGGCACCATTCAATCAGAAAACGGAGTTCCAGCCGCTCCACGGGAGGGACCCCGCTGCCCGCGGGCACTGGGGAACTGTCCTGGGACGAGCTGCTGAAGGAAAAGCAGAACGGATGCCAGACCCATCCCCCTGAAATACGCATCCCTTCTGTTTAAATACTGCATATTTCCCCAAGTGCACACCACACGAGGGCTAAATACCTAACAGGATATGTTACTTACCTATCGTTGTTACATTATTTAGGGTCTTTATGGGAAAACCAAGAACAAGCTTATGCTTGAAACCTTGACATACTTTGAAAGTGTGAAATAGCCATACATTTGTAAAAGATAAGCCATGCAAAACAAAATCTTCAATTAGGCACCCTCACCATCCTCATTTTCAAAGGTCTGGGGAGAACGCTGCACACAGCTGGGAGAGGATATCATGGGAAGGAGGAAGGGACCTTAAAGTTCATCTCATTCCATGTCCCTGCCATGGGCAGGGAACCCTCCCACCAGCCCAGGTTGCCCAAAGCCTCATCCAGCCTGGCCTTGAACCCCTCCAGGGATGGGGCATCCACAGCTTCTCTGGGCACCCTGGGCCACTGCCTCACCCCCCGCACAGGAAAACATTTCTTCCCCAGATCTCATTTCAATCTCCCCTCTTTCAGCTTCAAACCATCACCCCTCACCCTATCCCTGCACCCCCTGATCCAGAGCCCCCCCATCTCTCCTGTAGCCCCCTTTCAGCACTGGAAGGGGACCAAAAAGGACCGAAAACCTCTCCCCTCCTTCCCAGAGCTCAGCTGAGCCCGTCCCATGCTCTCGGGACAGGTCCAGCCTCTGCTCCAGCCGCAGGAGCGGGACCAGCAGCAAGCCGGTACTGCAGCGCTGGGAGCGACGAAGGACCAACCCCCAGCTTTTATGGGAGAAACAGCAGCAAAGGGGAAGTAGCAACTCATTTTAATTGTTCCTTTTGTTATATGAAAGCACAGACAAAAGACTCACAAAACCGTTTTACAAGCCGCCTGTTGACTCATGAACATATTTTTCTCATTGCTGGAGAATTACTTTTCTTTTTTTTAACCTTAACAGCCTTTAGCTAATTTACACCCTGGGAACTGGCTTTGATCTTACACACATTACCTGTGTGTACTTCCTCTCCCTACTGGCAATCACCCTGGGTGATTATTTTTTTCCCCCCAAACAAGGTGCAATCACTTCTGAACTGTCATTTCAAGGTAATTTCTAGCCAAAACTAATTACTGATTTCTCCCTGAGCTTTTCTGTTCATGGGTGGTTTATAGTTTCTCTATGCGTAACTGTATGTACACAGTAAAACCGCAAAAAATAAATTAGCTTTTAATTATATGAAGCTGTAAGCAGATAAACCTGTCAAAGGAACTCTTATGTACTTTACCCACCATGACTTAGAGCTGGAAAAAGAACTAATGCAACACTTGCTGGTGTAAGATAAATGGATTAGATGTGAACACCAGAAAATAAAACAATTTACCCTCCCTTAGCAGGGCTACATTGCATGAGGAACAAATAGTGGTCTTGCAAAAAAAACCCCAGAAAAACCCAAAAAAAAGCCCAACAAAACAAAACAAAAACCCAAAATAAAAAAATAATAAAAACAAAAACAAAAAAACCCCCAAAAACCCCAAAAAACCCAAAACCCCACATCTAATCAAAGCTTCCTGCCCTGTAACACAGAGTCAGAGGCACTAAAGGGTTTTCACAGGCGGTGATTGTCGCTGCTGCACTACTGCTTCCAGAGCCTTTTCCCCCCACCCTGGGATCAAGGTTTTTGCTTTGAAGAAGCCAACACAAAGCTAGGGCACCGAGCTGAAGCCCCAATTACTATTCAGAAAATTGTGAGTTTGGTTCTGATCAAAACGTATGCTCACAAGCACACACACACAAACACAGTGCAACTTCAGCCTGAGCTGCAATAATAAATCCAATTATAATGGTTTAGCAATTTGTAGAATAGCCCTTGCAACTTTAATCATCCAGAGAAGATTGAAGATTGATTTCTTCCTTTGCCGTAGAAAACACTTCGAAACAAAATGAAACATTTCTGTGTTGAATTACATTGGGTTTCAGGTTTAATCAACAGCTCCTTCCAATTAGACCTGACACTGATTAAAACCGTCAAGCTGGCCATTACCAACGGAACTGAGGCAGCCGAGGGATGTTCTTTGGTAGGTGACACCAGGCGCGATGGGAAGGGAGTTAAACTGTCGGTGTGACAGTTGTGTTCATCAGCTGGAATCCCTGTACCAGCAGAGGAGCAGAGCTGCCATGGGACCCTGCAAACTGTGACGGACTCCACGGAGGTCAGGACTTGGCATCAGCTCTACCCACGAACACTTTTTTCTTTAAGTACCATATCTTGTGACAGGATCTTCAGATAGCAACCAGAATCCCTGTTTTAATGGAGCTAACCATGCACATTTGTGCTTTCCCATCAAATACCCGTGTAAACACAAGCCCACTGTTCTGGCTAGAAAAATTCACCTCTAAGTTCCATTAAAAATAATTCAATGGACCTGGTGAAACACTGCCCCAAGCTAGTCCACAAAGTCACCCCGCAGACTTCAGGCTGCACTCAAAAATGATGATTATAAGTTACGAGACTTCAAAACAAAACCAAACCTCCAAAAGACCCCAACCACAGAACTCCCTTCAGTTTTGATACAGTTTCGAAACATTTTGAAAGATGTTCTACAAATTTCTGGTTATTCCAGAAACGTCTACAGATAAAACTAACAGAAAACCACATCCTGCAGGCAGTTTCAGGTGCTGGCAGCATTTTCTCTCCATGAGCATTAAAATGTCAGGTTTTAAATGCTGACAGTATAATTATGAAAACCTATAAAGTAGACACGGACATTTTTATCTAACTGTAGAAATAAAATTTTCCCTGAAGAAAAAATATTTAAACGATTCCAGGTGGTAAGACACATGAATTTTTCAGCTGTTCACAAAATAAACGGCACAGGATAACAACATCTGTGCTGCAGTGACCCTTCTGCTATGAAAGCTTGCAGCAGCAGCCCAGTCTCGAACCGCTCAACCTCGAAGCTTCCTTGGGCAGCCACCGCTAATAACCTCGGGACAGCGCCGTATCTCGCGCCCGGAGGTGCAGACAGCACCGGCGACTCACCCGTCTAACCTCACATCGGGCAAACTCCGGTTGAGGGCAATCAGGTCGCTGGCCATGAGGTTGAACTGGTTGATCTTGAACAGCTCCTTCATCTTCTCCTGGTCGTCCTTGGGAATGAGCACGGCCTTCCCCATCTCCCCAGGTCCCTCTTGGTTTCGAGAAATGACAGCTGGAACACAGGGGAGGAAGGTTTGGGAAACATTTTTATAGCTATTGAAAATATTTGAAGAACATGTATATCAAACTACCTCTAACCGACTTCTTGTATTTTTCATTTATTTTTAACTACCAGGCATGTGACAGCATAATCCCATCCCTGTAAGTAAATAAATCAATCAATCTTCAGTGACAAAAAAAAAAATAAATCCTGAAAAACAGAGTATCCCAACCCTGGCAGAGGATCTCTTACATGTTGTTAGAGACTAGTTTTGAGAAATATTTGTACAGTCAATTTGGAATGATAAGGAAAATTATAGCATCACCTCATACAAGCACACAAAAATAAACAAGATACAGAGTGGGTTTTTTTTACAAAAGTAAAGGAAAAGAAAGGAAACATCCCACATATACAAATAATTACAACCATTAGTCCAAAAGCCAACCGAAAGATGTCAGAATCGCCATCCGTTTCCTTCTCCCTTTTCTCTTAATGAAGGGATCTTGGGTTTACTTTTTCTGCCATCACATTCATTTTTCATCTTTAGTAACAAAATTACTTGGAAAAATTTGATGCTTAATATCCTGAAAGGCTGTTGCTTATGAAGGCTTCTCTGTGAGCTGAAGAGTAATTAAATCATTTATCTTTGCAATCAAAAAAACAAAATGCTAGAAGAATAAATCCTTTTCTACAAGATGCATAGGAAGTAGACTAAGTAACTTTTTAAGAAAAAATAAAAAAATCTGTTTTTCCAAGCCAATCAGACATCAGTACTTGCGGAAACCTGCACCGCACAGGGACACATTATATACACTTATTATATATATATATATGTTATTATACATTATATATGTGTCCTAGGTCCAGCTGGGATAGGGTTAATTCTTCACAGAAGCTGGGAGTTGGGCATAGCCGGATATTCGATACCATGCTGACGTCATGCCCGGGATATAAGGGGAAGCTA